CAGGTAGGTGTAACTCAGCCGCTGATGCACTGTCACGACACCCGTTAGCAGGGGAGCCAGAACCTTTATATTTTTATTATTTATATTTAATCCTACTCTTATTGTAATGGGATAATGATTGCTACCTATTGTTGAATTTTTATTAATGAACCATTCACAAATACCAGCTAACACATTTGAGACTATTGTTAAATCAATAACTGATTCCATCCCTGTTCTTACATTAATTCTAGTTCCCCTCCCATCATTAATACATACAAGATTTTTAATTTCCATTATTTCTTCTATTATTTTCCCATTTTTATCATTACATTTACCCCACAATGTACTATTAGCATTAAAATCCCCACACCAAATTACTTTCCCTTCCAAATATTCAGTTAACTCCTCCATTATTTCAATTGATAATGATTTGCATGGATTATAAAAATTTATTATTTTAAATTTACTATCTTGTTCCCACATTTCAATTACTATATATTCAAGCTCTTTCCCTTTCCCTAATACCTGATACTGTATCCCTTTTTTAATAAATATTTCACATCCATCTCCTCCCTCCTGCCTATCTCTTCTTACACTACCATATCCGTTAATCTCAAAATCTAACGTTGCTTTAGCCATGTTTCCTGGACACAAATAATTTCTGGTTTTTCCTCAAGACTATCAATATATCTTTTAAGTTCCTGTCCATTAGCAATCAAACTTCTTGCATTCCATTGTAATATTAACATGAATTATTTCCACCAGATGTTCCTGGCTTCCCGTCTACCTCCAATTTTTTATTTGTTCTCCCATGATCCTTCTTTAAACCCCAAAAACTTTTAAGCTCCTCTCACTATAATTTTAATCTTCTCGGTTTTATTCTTGGCTTGGTCAGTGCAGTTGATAACATATATGCCATGAATAATATTAGTTTTTCTACTGGTATCGTGACCTTTTCTTCTGTCTATCTTACTTGCTGTGAAATTTGACCCGTTTTTTCAATCTCTCTTCTGTTCTTTCACATTTTTACTGCTTCTGCATGGCTTATGTTTTTAGACACTTTAATCTGTATGATTTCTTTTGCTTTCTTCCTTATTTCATCCTCCATATGTAACTCTATGCTTCCCTCCACAATTGCAACATTTTTCTTGTACTTCTTTACATTCTTCCAATTTGTGATCTTCACCACATTTTGGACATCTCTGCTTCCCTTTGCATACTGCTGCAATGTGTCCATATCTTTGACATTTAAAGCAACGAAGTGGTGGAGGGATATAAGGTCTGACCTGAAAACTGAGGTAACCTATTTTTATGTTTTGTGGCAATTCTTTCCCTTCAAATTCAATGAGGATTGACAAACTCCCTACTCTTTCCCCATTTATTGTTTTGGACAGTCTTTTTAAGTTATTCACTTTTGCACCAACTACATTTTTCTTGATTTTATCAAGGTTTTCATCTAGAGGGATCCCATAAATCACTCCTCTAATTTTTTTTATTTTCTCTGATGATTCTTTTCTCCAACACATTTTTTTTTTACATATATTCTCCACGTTCATTTTTACAAACTACCAATAGGTTTCCATCTCTCAAAATCTTTACCATTTCAACATCTCCAATTTTCTTTTTTATTTCTTTTGATACCACAATGGGGCTGATGTTATCTTGTCCTTCCTCATTCTTAAGTTTTAATATTATTTTACATTCCTCCCACACAACTTTCCTCCTAACTATCCTTTCTTCCTCTGAACTACTTCCTTCCAATTCTCTTTTACTTCCTTGAATGTCACCAATTCCCTTTCCTTCGTCTATTTTTTTCTTCCATGTCCTCTCCCTCTTCCTCTCCCCACTGGCGTCCACCATCATAACCCATGTCTTCCTCATCTCCTATCTCCATTTCCAACTGAACCATTCACATACCAGCTTATGCTCAATCCGTCTTTTTTCAATTTTGATGTTATTTGTTTTCCGCTTTCCTCCTACTTTTACCCCGTCCTCTGTCGTCGCAGCGTCAAACAAATGTCCTCTCGCGGTCAGCCCATCATTATCATCGATCCATTCAGAGGAAAGATTTTCCTCTGAGCAATCCTCTCCAGCCGGAGAAGGATTGTAGAGGAAAGCGTTAAAGTCGTCAACCCATTCCTCCTGGAAGGGAAGTTTTTTCTCTGCGTAATAAACACACCCTAGTGCTCCGTAAAGTGAGAGGTGACACCTGTAAAAATAAACCATTAACCGATATACCCTTCTCCACCACCTGTTGTGCGTGCTCCACTTTCTCAACAAACAAAACCACAGCCCCATTCATTCGTGCCGCTGACCTGATGTTCCCGTGCCCAATCAATTCACCCACAGCCAAACAAACTTCCTCCACGCTGCACGGAGAGCCAGCACCCACCTTGATGCCTTTCTTCCGTGTCAGCGTGGAGAAAGACCCACCACCGACAACACCCACCATTGTTGCCGTCAGACGCCTGCAAGCCAGGCACGCCCGACGGCCACACCCCAAACAAACGAACAAAAAAAACAAACCTTAAAACGTGATAAAACTAACACAAAATTACAATTAAACAAGTAAACTAGACACCCAGTGAAAAAACAGTAAGAAAAACAAAGATAGAAAAGATACAATTGCACTCTCACTCACTCTTCCTCCGCTCTTCTCCACACACCCTCTCACACGAAGAAGAAGGATTACGCAAGGAAAGACTTCCCTTCCAGGAGGAATGGGTTGACGACTTTAACGCTTTCCTCTACAATCTTTCTCCTAAGATTGATGATTTTGATTATGTGTTGTTTGCAACATCGGGACAAATGAGGTGCTTCGGTTGCGGGAAAGAGGGACATGTAATTAAAATGTGCCCTGAAAAGACGGAACTAGTTAGGCCAGGTTCCGAAAAGCAGAAGCCCACAACTGCTGCAGGAGAGGAAGAAACAAGCAGTGAGGCCGCTGGAGGTAAAGAAAGTGCTTATGCTGGAGTGACGGAGGAGCCCGCCGCCGCGACAGCGGCGGGGGGGAACCCGCTGATATGGTTTCAACAGCAGCAATGGAATAATGGGCAGATAGGGAAGTGGTGGAGGAAGTGAGTGCTGAGTCAGTAGAGGGAGGCAGTAGGAGCGTGTGTGAGGGAGAGAGTGAGAGCACGGTGGTGTGTGGTGGTGGTGGGTTGACTGGTGATGGAGGTGAGAATGTAGAAGGGGAAAGTGGAGATGTACAGGTAAGACAGGAGGAAGGAGTAAATGAGAATATAGAACATCTAGTGTGTGGAGAGAAGGGAGGAGAAGGGATGACAAGCAGATGAAAGTGAAATTAAAAAATAGTGAAAAATCAGTTGTAGCAAGTGGAGCAAAAAAGGAAAAGGGTGAGGCAGAGGAGGAAATGGACTTGGAAGTGTGCACTCCGGCGAGGAGACGGAGCAAAAGGAGAAACAAAAGCAAAAGGTGACTGTAGAACAGGCCAGTAGGCAGGCTAGCAAAATAACTGGAGAGAAAAGAAATGTCTGAGAGTAGTGATGAAGAGAGTTGGTTCTCTGACACCAGCGAGATCTCGGTCACAAGACAATAAGGAACCAAAATACCCAGTAGAAACTTTCAGAACGTTCATGAAACAAACGAAAGGACTTAGAGGTATAAAAATAGAAAGCTATTTCCCTGACTTAAGAATATTTTTTTCTTCAGCAAGATATTATGTAAAACACAAAGAAGTGTCAGGATTCACGGACACAGAAGTTTACAGGTTAAAGAAAATAATGACGAAAGTTAGAAAACAGTTTTAATTATGCATAATAGCTTTTTAACATTACTCATGGGTTGCTTTTTGTATTTAGTTTTTAGCCTTTTACTCATAATGAATTCGTTTAAGATTCCATCTTTAAATCTTAACGGGGCAAGGGAGGCTAATAAAAGGGCATTTGTTTATCAGATGATTAACCAGAAAAGAATTGATGTTTTGTTTATACAAGAAACACATAGTGATCAAACGACAGAATCAGACTGGGTCAAGGAGTGGGGGGGGAATAGTTTTGAGTCATGGTATCTCAAAGAATTCAGGAGTAGGGTTTGTTTTTTCTAAAGCTTTTAGCCCACTTAGCATAGAGACCGAGCATGTCGTACAAGGGCGGTGTCTTTTAATAAAGACAAAATTTGAGCTTTTTAATATGGTTTTAATCAACATCTATGCTCCAATAGCCAATGCAGAGAAGAAGCGTTTTTATAGGGGGATTTTAATTGCACTGAGAATGAGTTTTTAGATCGAAATCACACAGAGCCGCATCCGATGGCCCAACGCGTCTTGAAACAGCTGGTTGCATCTCACAGTCTGGTGGATGTATGGAGGAGGATGCACGCAGGCTCCAGGCAGTTTACATGGTCCCACATCAAGGAAGGTAAAATCTCTTTAGCTCGTTTAGATCGTTTTATTATTTTAAGTACCATTTTAATGTGTTTAAAACATGCCAGATCATGTTACTTTTAGGGAGTGTTTTATTTGAAAACATTTTACCGAGAAGTGCGTATTGGCATTTTAATTCTGCATTAACCTACGATCAGAGTTTTAAAGAGGTTTTAACTTATTTCTGGACCGGTTTTAGAGGAACAAAGGCTGATTTTAGTTCACTAAAGCAGTGGTGGGACTATGGGAAGGTCCAAATTAGACTGCTGAGTCAGCAGCACACTATCAATGTCACACGTGACATTGCCGGATCTATCAGAAATCTGGAGATGAGTATAGTGGATTTGGAGCGGCTTAGTGACACCACAGGAAATCAAGAGTATTTTGAAGCTCTCAAATCTAAAAGGCTAATTTTAGCAAACCTGCTGGAGAGTAAAGTTAAAGGCGCGTTGGTCAGGTCCCGGATGCAGAATATCACAGAGATGGATGCTCCCTCTGGCTTTTTCTTTGGCCTAGAGAGGAAACAGGGTCAGAGGAAGATGATCCACTCCCTGCTATCGGACACGGGGTAGCATCTGAGCGAACCGGGCAGATAAGGAGGAGGGCTGTGGAGTTTTACCGTTCTCTGTTCCAGAGGGAATATAAAGAGAATGAGGAACTGCTGGAGGAGTTCTGCAAAGAACTGCCTCAGATCTCTGCAGAGATCAATATCGATCTGGAGCGCCCGCTGGGCATACAAGAGCTCCACACAGCCCTCCAGAGCATGCAGGGCCAGAAGTCCCCAGGCGTTGATGGGCTCACAGTGGAGTTTTTCAAGGCCTCCTGGGATCTTCTGGCCCAAGACATGCTCGAAGTGTATAACAAGAGTCTGGCCACTGGTTCGCTCCCCTTATCCTGTCGCAGGGCAGTTATTGCTCTGCTGCCCAAGAAGGGCAACCATCAGGAGATCAAGAACTGGCGCCCCATGTCCCTCCTCTGCACGGATTACAAAATCCTCTCGAAGGCCCTGGCCACGAGACTAGGAAGAGCCATGGAGCAGGTCATCCACCGGGACCCAGACCTACTGCGTCCCCGGCAGGTCCATGGTAGACAATGTCCACCTAATTCGGGATATTTTGGAAGTCTCCGGTTCACTGGGTTTACAGACAGGCTTGATTGCATTAGATCAAGAAAAGGCATTTGACCGCGTTGAACACGACTTCCTCTGGAAAGTAATGAGGAGGTTTGGGTTCAGTGAGGGTCTTATCGCCAAGATCCAGGTATTGTACAGTGACATTGAGAGTATGCTGAAGATCAATGGTAGCCTGTGTGCTCCTTTTAGAGTGTGTAGAGGCGTCCGACAGGGCTGTGCGCTTTCGGGGATGCTCTATGCACTCTCCCTGGAACCCCTCTTAAAGAAGATGCGAGCAGAGATTCATGGCTTGGTTTTACCCGGTTTTAAAGACAATTTGGTTTTATCTGCCTACGCTGATGATCTCGTGGTTTTTATTAAGGATCAAAGAGACATCAGCATTTTAACAGAAATCATAAGAAAGTTCTCCTTGCTGTCCGTCGCCAAAGTAAAAGCGAAGCCCTGGCTGTTGGCGAGTGGCCCGACGGACTCCCGGATCTCCCCAAAGGAATGAAACTGGAGGAAAGACGGCCTAAAATATTTAGGAGTGTATTAGGCGAGAAAAAGGTTGTGGAAAAAAACTGGGAAAACCTAGAGCAAAAAATAACAAATAAGCTCGCAAAATGGAAATGGTTACATGGAAAAAATGTCGTACAGAGGAAGAGTGTTGGTGCTCAATAATCTGGTCGCATCGCAGCTATGGCACAAGCTCGTTGTTTTAGATCCACCATCAGGACTGATGGCAAAAATTCAAACAGAAATGGTAAATTTTTTCTGGAATAATCGTCACTGGGTGCCGCAGTCGGTATTGTTTTTACCTAGAGAAGAGGGGGGCCAGGGCCTTGTCCACCTGGCTAGTAGAGTTGTGGTGTTTAGGATACAATTCCTACAAAAGTATTTGACAGGATCTCCTGTGTGGAGAGATGTAGCCAGCTGCATTCTGAGACGCGTGAATTCCTTGGGTTGGATGCTGCTTTGTTTTTAACAAATTTTAGTCTTTTAAGGTTAAGGGGAACTCCGCAATTTTATCAGAGCGTTTTTAAATCATGTGCTCTTTTTAAATTGCGCAAAGTGGAAACGGCTGATTCTCTGCATTGGCTATTAGAAGAACCCTTGGTGTACGGAGCAAGACTGGATGTTGGAGAGGACACGTTCCTGGGACTGACGGAGACGCTGTCTGGAGCCGGCATAGTAACCTTAAAGAGGCTGATCCGAGCGTCTGGAGCGGACTTTAGCGATGCCCAGCAGGTTGCTGCCGCAATGAAAGTAAAGTCCAAAAGAATGATGGAACGTGTCCTGTTAAAAATAAAAATAAGAATGACTGGAGAGGAAAAGAGGCTGTTGCAGGCATACGAGGAAGGGAAATGTCTGCCAAAGGAAACAGACCCCTTTCCGAAAGTTCTTCTGAGCCCAGACTTTGAAGAGGACAGAGGTTCTCTGCTAAAGAACATAGACTCAGAAATGGAGTTGTGTAAAGTGGCCTCAAAGACATTATACAAGAATTGTGTGAAAATCGTAAATAAGAGAACACTCCGAAAGAGAGACGTCAGTGTATGGACTGAAAAACTGAAAGGAGAACCAATCCACTGGAGGACACTATACAAACCGCCGATCAAGAAAAGGATTGGGGACCTCCAGTGGAGAATACTCCACGGTGCTATAGCCACTAACGCGTTTTTATCAGTGATTAGTTCTGGTTTTATAAATGAGTGTCCATTTTGTAAATCGTCTGAGAGTGTTTTTCATGTTTTTATAGATTGCACACGTTTAACTCTTTTTTAGTTTTTTATCAACCGCCTTTAGCCTTTTTAAAACGCCTTTTACCAGTGCATTATCTATTAACGGTGTAAGGCACAGTAAAGCGACTAGTTTTAAGTCACGGCTTTTAAATTATTTATTAGCCGAGGCGAAACTAGCAATATACATAACTCGTAAAGACAAGATGCAGACTGGACCTCAAGTTGATGCTGTGGCTTTGTGGAAGGTAAATATCAAGGCGAGGCTGAGGTTGGAGTTTGCTTTCCCAGGGCCACTGGGAATGTGCAAAGGTTTGTAGAATTATGGGGATGTAACGAAGCTTTGTGCATCATTTCAGAGAATAATAAATTAATTTTTAACAATGTTTTATTATAATGTGTTATTAAAATGAATGTCAGAGGAATATTGTAAAATTGATTATTTATTGTAAATAAATGTTTTGTTAAAAATAAAAAAAATCTTTTCTCTTCCTTTCAGCAGCTCGTTGTTTCTTTCCACCCTTCTCCACCTTCTCCCACTCTTTCCCTTCATTTTGATCATCCATCCCTTCCTCTTCACTACAATCCACATTATTTCCGCCAGTTTTCCCAAAATCCATCTCATCCATACTTTAATTTAAGTCCCATTTATCCGTCAAAACGCAAATCCAAACTTTCCTGTCTTCGCTCTCAACCTCCGTCCAATAGCGTCGGGCGTCTCACTCTGCGTAATCCTCTCCAGCCGGAGAAAGATTGTTGAGGAAAGCATTAAAGTCGTCCACCCATTCTGCCTGGAAGGGAAGTCTTTCCTCTGCGTAGTCCTCTCCAGCCGGAGAAGAATTGTGGATGAACGAATCAAAGTCATCCAGGTCCTCGTCCCGCAATGGCCTTTCAACTCGACGTTTGGCAGGAAAATGTTTATGGTCTTTCTGATGGCTGTAGTGACTATGTAACCAACCGACAACGCAGCGTCGTAGTGTTGGAATAGTGTACGCTCGTAAGAATATAATTAGACTCAGGAAATCAGGGCTTCTAGACTCCATCTGCACGGAAACGCGGACCGTACTCATTAGCCTCGGACTGCTTCGCCAAGCGGCTAGCGAAACAGGGGTCCCTCCCACAAACACAGGACGCCCATGGAAACGTCGTAGACGGCGCGATAGGAAGCAGAAGCGCGGCTGTCGCGGAGGACTAGCAGCTAAGCTAAAAGCTTCTTCTTCTTTTCTATTATGGCGGATCGCAAGCAACTTTAAGGTGCATACCGCCACCTACTGTACACGAGTGTGTAGCAACAGTATTCCACATCAGTCATATTCTATTTTTTAATTTTGTGTTTGAAGAAAAATAAATAGTTCTTTCCTTAATATGCAAATATCCATTATATTTCCATCATTTCCTAGTATTCCTTTCAAACTCCATTCTTGATCTGGCCTTCCAACTATTCTCAATTTCTCCTTTCACGTTCATGTTTTACAGTTCAATAATACATGCTCTACTTTTTCTTTCTCTCCACATTTTTCACATTTGTCATTATTTTTCTTCCCTATTAAATATAAAGTATCATTTAAATATGTATGTCCTACTCTTAATCTAATTATTATTTCTTCCCTTCTATTTCTCTCCTTAATATTTCTACTAAATATTGACTTCTGAATTTTATATAATTTCCTTCCTTTCTTATCTTCATTCCATCTTTTTTGCCATATTTCCATTTCTTTATTCTTAATAATTGATTTCCCTTCCCCTTTCCCAATAGGTATTTTAATCGTTATTGCCTGATCTAAAGCCCTTTTTGCTGATTTATCTGCCCTTTCATTGCCTTTTACACCTTCATGTGCTGGTACCCAACAGAACCAAATATCGATGCCACCTGTATAATCTAAATAAGCTGTGTTGAATTTCTAGTACTAGATCTTTCCTGTTGTTTCCTTCTCCCTGAATACTTTCTATTACTGCTTTGGAGTCAGTGGAAATGACTTCTCTGTCTGGACGAACCTCCTCTACCCACTGTAAACTGATAATAACTGCCACCATTTCTGCCGTGAATACAGATAGTTGAGCAGATAATCTTTTAGAAATGTAAATTTTACACTCAGGTATATATATTCCTATTTCCACATGTCCTTTTAAATTCTTAGACCCATCTGAATATATTTTAATATAATTATAATATGAGTTTCTTAAATATATCAGTCTTTACACCTATTTCATTTAAATTCCAATCATTTTTCATTTTATGGAGTTTCATGTCTACATTTACTTCCGGAAAAATCCATGAAGGGCTAACGCTAATTGGGTTAAATTGAGCTATTTCTTCATCTTCTAATCCATATTTTAATCCTTCTTTTATGATCCATCCAAATCCATTACTCTGGAATTTTGAGTATTCCCAACAATATTTCAATATTTACATTTTCCTGCTTACTACTTTTTATTTTCATCCAGTATGTTAGAGCTAATTTCATTCTTCTTATTTCCATTGGAATCTCTCCAGTCTCTATTAGAAGGGCATTAATAGGTGTCGTTTTCACTGCTCCTGTACATATACGTAAAGCCCTATTCTGTAAAGTATCTATTTTTTGTAATGTTGTTTTAGCTGCTACTCCATATATAAAACTACCATAATCTATTATTGATCTCATGAGAGCCCTATATATGTTTAGTAATGACTGTCTATCTGCACCCCAGTTATTTCCAGCCACAGCCTTTTGTAGATTTATAACTGTCTTACATTTAGTTTCCAGATTTTTATATGTTTTCCACATATATGATTGATCCAACCATATTCCCAGATATTTAAATTCTGTTACCCTTTCCAATGGTTGTTCATATAATGTTATTGTCCCTATATCAATATTTTTCTTATTTGTAAAAACCATATAACAAGATTACTTGTTGATCCCATTTATATGACAATTTTTCTACTTTATTAATATTTTCTTAATTTTACCTACAACATCTTGTATTCTTTCCTCTCATCCATATAACCCTGTCATCAGCATATAATGCAGATTTATACATTCTTCTGTTTCAGAAAAGATATAATTTATCATAAATTAAATAGTATTGGACTAATTGCACTACCTTGTGGAATTCCATTTTCAACATTAAATTCTTTGAGTAATCATTTCCGATCTTAACTTTTATTTTTCTATCCGACAAAAAATTTGTTATCCAATTAAACAAATGTAGTGGATAAACAACAGAGGAAAGCCGTTGTGGTAGATGTAGCAATACCAAGTGATTGCAACATCAGGAAAAAGGAGCACGAGAAACTGGAGAAATACCAGGGCCTCAGGGAAGAACTGGAGAGGGCCTGGAAGGTGAAGACCACAGTGGTGCCTGTGGTCATCGGGGCCCTCGGGGCAGTAACCCCCAAACTGGAGCAGTGGCTACAACAGATCCCAGGAACAACATCAGACATCTCAGTCCAGAAATGTGCAGTCCTTGGCACAGCCAAGATACTGCGCAGAACCCTCAAGCTCCCAGGCCTCTGGTAGAGGACCTGAGCTCAGAGGATAAGAACCACCCGCGGTGGGTGAGAAGGGAATTTTTATATATATATATATATTTTTTTTTATATATATTTTATATATATATATATATATATTTTTATATATATATTTTTATATATTTTGCCATTTGCTTGTGGTATACCTAGGTACTTGTAACTGTCCTCTATGTCTGCTATTGTTCCTTGTGGGAGTGAGACTCCTTCTGTGCGGATCACCTTCCCCCTTTGTTACCAGCCGACCACACTTCTCTAGTCCGAATGACATCCCAATGTCAGTGCTGTAGATCCTGGTGGTGTGGATCAGTGAGTCGATGTCTCGCTCACTCTTGGCGTACAGCTTGATGTCATCCATGTAGAGGAGGTGACTGATGTTGGCCCCCATTTTTGAGTCGGTATCCGTAGCCATCTTGTTGATAATTTGGCTGAGGGGGTTCAGGCCTATGCAGAACAGTAGCGGGGACAGAGCATCTCCTTGGTATATGCCACATTGATGGACACTTGTGCAAGTGGTTTGCAGTTGGCTTCAAGGGTGGTTTTCCACAGCTTCATCGAGTTTGCAATGAAGGCTCTCAGAATCCTGTTGATGTTATACATCTGTAGGCATTCAATGATCCAAGTATGCGGCATTGAGTCATAGGCTTTCTTGTAATCGATCCAAGCCATGCACAGGTTGGTGTGTCGGGTTTTGCAGTCTCGGGCAACTGTGCGGTCTACGAGGAGTTGGTGTTTGGCTCCTCTGGTATTTACACCGACACCCTTCTGTGCCGTGCTCATGTGTTTTTTCCATGTGTTTGCTTATCTTGGCCGCTATGATGCCTGACATGAGCTTCCAGGTTGTGGAGAGGCAGGTTATTGGTCGGTAGTTGGGTGGGACTGGACCCTTTGATGGATCCTTCTGGATATATATATATATATATATATATATAAAGCACCGCTGTTTTGGGGCTTGGTTTTTCTTCTGAATTTTGTCATGTTCCAACTTCTCCCCATGTATTTATAATTATGTTGACAGCTTATCAGGATGCCTGATCTCAGAGGAAGGCTGTGCCTCTCTGGCCTAAGCTCTGACCTCCAACCCCTCTCATCTGAAAGAGTTGGACCTGAGCTACAATCATCCTGGAGGCTCAGGACTGAAGCTGCTGTTAGCAGGACAGAAGGATCCACACTGGAGACTGGAAGTTCTCAGGTATGGTGGAAGCTGGTGCTGGTGAAGAGAAGCTCTGATAGAGGAGAAATGCTTTCTCTGTCCTGTAGTCAGCCTGACAGAATCCAGTACTTCCTCCCACTGAGCTTCTTGATTGGATTTAGATAATGTTAATAATGATGGTGGCAGTTTATTCCAGTCAAATTGTGGAGAAATTGTGATATTATTAATCAATTATTTGTTTATTCTCATTGATCTTTATAATGTATCTTTATTTATGCTTTCCTTTAAGTTAATCTCATTATAGAATTAAGAATGTTTCTTGTATTGTTCATTTACTCTGATTCCTTTCTCAGAAGGCCTCACTGACAGAGAGCAGAAACAAAATCTTCCTGCAGGTTTACCTCTTGGTGAAGAGCTCTGCTTCGGTTGAGTTGCTGGCCTCCAATAAAGCCATTTCTGCCCTACAGGATCAAATGTCTCCTGATGATTTGCATGTCACACTTTGGTTCAAACAGTTCCTGGGCCTGATAGGAACTATGAGCCAGACTCAACAAGGTCACCCAGCCAAGATAACTGTGACCTCTCTGTACACAGACACAAACATGTGCCTGATCCACACACATTGTTGAATTCTCTTAGATCAGATGCAAAAGTATTCATGGTTGTTGACATCAGTAATGCCTTTTTCTCAATACCAATTGAAAAAGAGAGCGATTTTTGGTTTGCTTTTACTTTTGAAGGGAAAAGATACACGTACACCCAGACTACTCAAGGCTACTGTGAAAGCCCTACAATTTTCTTTCAAGTAATGAGTCAAGTATGTCAACTTTTCAACCCCAGGAGGGAGCCAAGTTTTGTTGTACATAGTTGATGTTATTGGCTTCTCCAAACAGGGAAACCTGTAAGCAAAACACTTTAGTGTTTCTGTAACATTTAGCTAAAGAAGGTCATAAGGTTAACAAAATAAACTTTAACTGTGTAAACGACAAGTGAAATTTTTGGGTCATAACTTGAGTGAAGGAGGCCAAACCATAGTGGAGGATAGAAAAACAACAATTCTCCAAGCTCCCAAACCATAAAAAAAACAAAAACAGATATCCTTTTTTTGGGGTTGACTAACTATTGTCGAAACTGGGTGCCTAATTATGCAGAAATTGTGGCAGCTCTGATAAATTAATGTATAAAAATTTTTTTAAAATGTCTTCTTTGTTGTGGGCAGATGAAGCAGAAGAAGCACTTTGCAAACTAAAACAGGCCCTCGTGTCAAGCGCTGCGTTAGCGTTACCAGATTATTAATACAAAACCTTTTGTTCAGATGGTGGATTGTAAAGGTCATGTCATGACCTCGGTGCTAGTCCAACAGCATGGTTATAAAATGAGACCAATAGCATATTTTCTTCAAAACTTGATAGTGTAGCGTGTGCCTTACCACATTGTGTGAGAGCTGTAGTTGCTGCTTCTATGGCAGTAGAAGTTAGTGCTCCTATAGTTCTTTTTCACCCATTAACATTAAAGTAACACATGCAGAATTATT